GCCTCTTTGTTATTTTGAAGAAGTCGTTTAAAGGTTTTAAACATATTTGACCCCAGTGACCTTGGATATAAACCAAGGTCATTTCTTTGAACAAACTTAGTAGCCCTTCATTTGAGCATGTAACTGGCAAAATATCATCACCCTAGGTCTCTCGGTTATTCAGAAGAAGTCGTTTAAAAGTTTTTAACATATTTCACCCCTGTGACCTTGAATGTAAATCACGGTCATTTATTTGAACAAACTTGGTAGCCCTTCATCCAAGCATGTTACTGGCCAAATATCATCATCCTAGGCCTCTCAGTTATTTAGAAGAAGTCATTTAAAGGTTTTAAACATATTTGACCCCAGTGACCTTGAACATAAATAAAGGTAATTTATTTGAACAAACTTGGTAGCCCTTCGTCCCAGCATGTTACTGGCCAAATAGCAACACCCTAGACCTCTCGGTTATTCAGAAGAAGTCGTTTAAAGGTTTTTAAACATATTTGACCCCAATGACTTTGAATATATATCAAGGTCATTTATTTGAACAAACTTGGTAGCCCTTCATCCAAGCATGTTACTGGCCAAATATCATCACCTTAAGCCTCTTTGTTATTTCGGAGAAGTCGTTTAAAGGTTTTAACATATTTGACCCCCGTGACCTTGAAATTTGATGAAGGTCATTTATTTGAACAAACTTGGTAGCCCTTCATCCAAGCATGCTTCTAGCCAAATATCATCATCCTCGGCCTTTTGGTTACTGAGAAGAAGTTGTTAAAAGTAAAAAGTTGACGCAGGACAGACTACGGATGCCGCACCATGCCATAAGCTCGAAGGGCCAAGTGAGCTAATAAATTGATGCCTCATTATCATCTCTACTGATAAGACGCAGGTTAAAGCTGTGTATATGATATCACTGTCCCTACCATATCCAGGAACAATACCCCTCCCTACCATATCCAGACACAATATCCCTCCCCACCATATCCAGACACAATAACCCTCCCAGCCATATCCAGACACAATACACCTCTCCACCATATCCAGACACAATACACCTCCCAACCATATCCAGACACAATACCCCTCCCCATCATATCCAGAAACAATACACCTCCCCACCATATCCAGATACAATACACCTCCCAACCATATCCAGGCACAATACACCTCCCCACCATATCCAGACACAATACATCTCCAAACCATATCCAGATACATTACCCCTCCCAACCATATCCAGACACAATACATCTCCCAACCATATCCAGATACAATACACCTCCCCACCATATCCAGACACAATACATCTCCCCACCATATCCAGATACATTACACCTCCCCACCATATCCAGGTACAATACACCTTCCCACCATATCCCGATACATTATACCTCCCCACCATATCCAGGTACAATACACCTCCCCACCATATCCAGGTACAATACACCTCCCCACCATATCCAGACACAATACATCTCCCCACCATATCCAGATACATTACACCTCCCCACCATATCCAGGTACAATACACCTCCCCACCATTTCCAGGTACAATACACCTCCCCACCATATCCAGACACAATACACCTCCGTACCATATCCAGACACAATACACCTGCCCACCATATCCAGACACAATACATCTCCAAACCATATCCAGATACATTACACCTCCCAACCATATCCAGACACAATACATCTCCCAACCATATCCAGATACAATACACCTCCCCATCATATCCCGATACCGTACACCTCCCCACCATATCCAGGTACAATACACCTCCCCACCATACCCAGGTACAGTACACCTCCCCACCATATCCCGGTACAATACACCTCCCTACCATATCAAGATACAATACACCTCCCTACCATATCCGGACACAATACACCTCCCCACCATATCCAGACACAATAACCTCCCCACCATATCCAGATACAATACACCTCCCTACCATATCCAGACACAATACACCTCCCCACCATATCCAGATACAATACCCCTCCCCACCATATCCAGGTACAATACACCTCCCCACCATATCCAGGTACAATACCCCTCCCCATCATATCCAGGTACAATACCCCCCCCCACCATATCCAGGTACCATACACCTTCCCACCATATCCCGATACATTACACCTCCCCACCATATCCAGGTACAATACACCTCCAAACCATATCCAGACACAATACACATCCCCACGATATACAGATACAATACCCCCCCCTACCATATCAAGATACAATACCCCTCCCCACCATATCCCGATACATTACTCCTCCCCCCCATATCCAGGTACAATACCCCCCCCCACCATATCCAGGTACAATACACCTCCCCACCATATCCAGACACAATACACTCTCCACCATATCCAGACACAATACACCTCCCCACTATATCCAGATACAATACACCTCCCCACCATATCCAGGTACAATACACCTCCCCACCATATCCAGGTACAATACACCTCCCCACCATATCCAAACACTACACATCCCCACCATATCCAGATACAATACACATCCCCACCATATCCAGGTACAATACACCTCCCCACCATATCCAGATACAATATACCTCCCCACCATATCCAGATACAATACACCCCCCCACCATATCCGGGTACAATACACCTCCCCACCATATCCAGGTACAAAACACCTCCCCACCATAGCCAGTTACAATACACCTCCCCACCATATCCAAACAATACACATCCCCACCATATCCAGATACAATACTCCTCCCCACCATATCCGGGTACAATACACCTCCCCACCATATCCAGGTACAATACCCCTCCCCACCATATCCAGATACAATACACCTCCCCACCATATCCGGGTACAATACACCTCCCCATCATATCCAGGTACAATACACCTCCCAACCATATCCAGATACAATATACCTCCCCACCATCTCCAGACACAATACACCTCCCCACCATTTCCAGGTACAATACACCCACCATATCCAGACACAATATACATCCCCACCATATCCAGGTACAATCCACCCCCCACCCATATCCAGATACAATACCCGTCCCCACCATATCCAGCAACAATACACCTCCCCACTATATCCAGATACAATACATCTCCCCATCATATCCAGGTCCAATACCCCTCCCCACCATATCCTGACACAATACACCTCCCCACCATACCCAGATCCAATACCCCCCCCCACCATATCCAGATACAATACACCTCCCCACCATATCCAGATACAATACACGTCCCCACCATATCCAGGCACAATACACCTCCCCACCATATCCAGATACAATACACCTCCCCACCATACCCAGATACAATATACCGCCCCATCATATCCAGATACAATACACATCTCCACCATATCCAGATACAATACACATCCCAACTATATCCAGACACAATACACCTCCCCACCATATCCAGATACAATATACCTCCCCACCATATCCAGATACAATACACATCTCCACCATATCCAGATACAATACACATCCCAACTATATCCAGACACAATACACCTCCCCACCGTATCCAGATACAATACACCTCCCCACCATATCCAGATACAATACACCCCCCCATCATATCCAGATACAATACCCCTCCCCACCATATCCAGATACAATATACCTCCCCATCATATCCAGATACAATACACATCTCCACCATATCCAGATATAATACACATCCAAACTATATCCAGACACAATACACCTCCCCACCATATCCAGATACAATACACCTCCCCACCATATACAGACACAATACACCTCCCCACCATATCCAGACACAATACACCTCCCCACCATATCCAGACACAATACACCTCCCCACCATATCCAGATACAATACACCTCCCCACCATATCCAGATACAATACACCTCCCAACCATATCCAGACACAATACACCTCCCCACCATATCCAGACACAATACACCTCCCCACCATATCCCGACACAATACACATTCCCACCATATCCAGATAAATACTAATCCCCACCATATCAGATACAATACACCTCCCCACCATATCCAGATACAATACACCTCCACACCATATCCAGACACATTACACCTCCCCACCATATCCGGACACAATACCCCTCCCCACCTTATCCAGACACAATACACCCCCCCACCATATCCCGACACAATAACCTCCCCACCATATCCAGACCCAATACACCTCCCCACCATTTCCAGACACAATACACCTCCCAACCATATCCAGACACAAGCCCCCTCCCCACCATATCCGGACACAATACCCCTCCCCACCAAATCCAGACACAATACCCCTCCCAACCATATCCAGATACAATATACCTCCCCACCATATCCAGACACAATACACATTCCCACCATATCCAGATAAATACACATCCCCACCATATCCAGATACAATACACCTCCCCACCATATAATACACATCCCCACCATATCCAGATAAATACACATCCCCACCATATCCAGATACAATACACCTCCCCACCATATCCAGACACATTACACCTCCCCACCATATCCAGACACATTACAACTCCCCACCATATCCAGGTACAATACATCTCCCAACCATATCCAGATACAATACACCTCCCCACCATATCCAGATACAATACACCTCCCCACCATATCCAGGTACAATACACCTCCCCACCATATCCAGACACATTACACCTCCCTACTATATCCAGGTACAATACACCTCCCCACCATATCCAGGTACAATACATCCCCCAACCATATCCAACTCCAAACCCCCCCCCCCCCATATCCAGATACAATACTCCTCCCCACCATATCCAGATCCAAGACCCCTCCCCACCATATCCGGACACAATACAGATACAATACACTGATGAACAAAGTGACCCAATACAGATAAAATACACTGATGAACAAAGTGACCCAGCAGTAAAGTATCACCTCCTTGTTCCTTTGACACCCTTTGTGATATCCGGTCCAGGACCCCCAGCTTATCAGCGAAGGACTGCACATATTCATGCATCATGGTAAACTCTGGAGAGCGGTTCTTCATCATGTAGGCAGCGCTGATGTTATGTATGGAGTCAGACACGCGACTTAGGATACCAGACCCCTGCTTCTTGTGTGCTTGGAACTCCTGAAATTAAATTTTGTTTTGATACACATATATGAATTCGAAGTGTATACTTCAAAATGCCACAAGCCATAACTATGTTTTAAACCATAGTGCAATCGGTTAGGGAACTGATATTGTGCAGGGTACATGTAGTAGCTTTATATACATACATACAGTTGTGGGATCGCACAACGTTACACGATGTGCGGTGTGCGCACGGTGTGTGCACGGTGTGTGAACGGTGTGTGCACGATGGGCGAACGATAAAAAGATGGACTATCATTGCTTGCACACATCTGTGCGCACGATGGTCGGACGTTGTGCGATAACAATCGTGGTTGGTGTAAATTGAGGAATGCCTTAAAAATTTATACGGTTTCGTGTTTAATCATATAAACTTGATGTTTACGTATGTTTCAATATTCTAGCAACATCTATAAACTTATCTTTCGCTCTATACATTCTTATATTTAGAAATTGTGTTTTCTGTGTTTTTAAACAAACTTAATCGACACTTGTAAAATTTCAACACAATCCCGTCTACAGGTAAACATAACCTCTTTGTACATGTACTTGGACCAAGGGACAGTATACTCCCCGCCTGGGGCACTTACGTAACTCGTCGGGTAAGGCCGGGGGTGTGAAAATCCAGGTGAAGGGGAGCTATAGGCAAACGAATGCAAATAACAAATACTATGCATAACGGTCAAACGGTATCGCATATCAGCTCTGTGTGGCAGGCACTGGTCAGGTAAAACTCCGGACACTCATCAAATTGTTATTTACCTGATCTGTTTACTCGGAGCCAAACCCATTCTTGATAGCCTAACGGTCGTTGTAATACTGTGTAACACACATTGTGAAATTGTATAATCTTGATTATTGTGATGAGAAATTACAGATATATACACAGTGTACATTATCGCATACGAGCCTTCCGTATTTTTGTCATTCCGTAATTTTGCTCTACAAATGATACCAAATCGCACAGGGGTGCGGAGAGAAGCGCACAACGGGGCGAACGATTGCTATATCGCACAGTTGTGTGCACCATGTGTGGACGATGTGCGGACGGTGTGTGAACGATGTATACACGGTGTGCGCACGGTATTTTTGGTGCGTTGTGCGGTCCCACAACTGTAGTTAAGCAGAACAAAACTATTTTTTTTAACTAGAAATTTGTTTCCCTATTGCATTCTAATATGAGAATAACAGAAATCACAGTAATGCTATAAAAGTACCTTTATACCATTGTACACCTTATAGATAGGTAAATTATATGCATTTGTTACTCAAGTAAGAGGGTGATATGCAGGTTTGTTTCCTGAAGTGAATAATAATAACTCCAGGGAAGATCCCATCAGTAATATTACTCACAGATGGAAACAAATCTCATTCATAGTCATTTTTTTCAAACATTTCAATTGATAACGAAAAAGCTACATCTGACATTTTCTACAAAGGGGAATAATTCTGCATAAACCAAATGAGAGACTCACAACTCCAAATGGGGGCAGAAATGTAAGACTCTGAATGTGTGCACACACTGCCGGGAGATATGATGTTTTGCGAACTTCAAGCATTTGCTGCCAGGAGATATGATGTTTTGTCTCATGTCATGTGTTTAAACAAACAGACACACAGTAACATAGATGAGATATAATACATGTTGTAACCTTATCCATAACTTAGACATTGATATATACAGTCTAACCTCGTTATCTCGAAGTCGACGGGGTCGTAGGATAACTTTGAGATATCAGAGTGTTCGAGTTAAGCGGGTTCATATATTTGGTATAAAATGTACTGTTTGGACATAGCACTAGCAGTCGTTGATTTGTACTAATAGCGAATGCTTATAATCAATTGATGGATGATATACGTAATCAATAGGACACATACATGTTTGTTATTTTATAATAAACACGATTACAAAAATAGAGCAATTTTTTTTCCGAAAAACGTAACGTTACTTTCGTTTAATGCGATGAAAACGGTTGGACCATATTGCGAATTCGTTATGAAATATGGACGGGCCTAGTAATTAAATGTGGATTTGGCTAGTCTTGGCAAAGTCTTTCTAGGTCTAAATTTATATTTGCAATTCCATCTGAAGTGTTACATTTAACATAGAAATATCCCGCTGTCTCCGACCTCTTACTTTACGATGCGGAAATAAAAGTGCGCAAGTCTGAAACAAATCACTGTAATGGAACGTACGCATAGTTGATTCTTTAAATGAAAACACACACAAACAGATTATATCATACATGTAACACATTGATTCATAAAAGCCAAATGTGACACCTGACACCTCCTCAACTTGATATAATCAACAGCAATTATCATATTGTTCTTAAAATCTTTCGATTGACTTTCAAAGCCAAACTGGCTCCTGTAAAAACATGAACTTGTGAAGCTGTCTTATGTTGTGATTTTAACTGTGGAACTCTTTTATGCATGACCACGCTTTGTTACCAATTTTCCGGTTTGGACTGTCGTCAGTTTGGGTGTACAAATCATTAAACAAAATTGCAGTCAGTACAGAATACCGTTGATCAACATTGACATTTTTTCTTATTAAGATGTGGTTTTGACAGTGGGCACACTTTACAGTCTTAAGCTTTATAGTAAATTATTTTTACTGATTTCATGCTAGTCTACTCACGAAATATGTTCATAAACACGGAACGGCGAAATGCTGTAGCTTTGTGATTGACGAATTGAAATGCGAACCCTATTTCAGTAGACGACGTTTTGATGTTGGATTTACACTATTAAAACCAATATCTAACTTTGAGGTATCCAAGTTTTTCGAGTTTTCAGGGTTCGAATTATCAGAGTTTTATTTACTAAGATAAAGAAGAGATTTGGTCGGGACCGGAGAGATACTTCGAGATAAACAGGGTCTTCGAGTTATAAGAGTTCGAGATAACGAGGTTCGACTGTACATGTTTGGACAAAAATCTTACCCAGGCTTTGGCAGTGAGAAATACATGCAAGTTTGTATCAAAGGACAACACTGGGTGATCGGCGATCCTCGTCAGAAATTTTTGTAGAGCTGACTGTCGCACTCGTAAAAATTCTTGGCTGAATCTGTCTAAACGGCGTAGACTGTGTTTTTCTGGCAATGGCTACAAATTTAACATGAATGATAAATGAATTCAGTAAAATAAATCCGACTGACTCCAACACAACTAATGTATATCATGCCATTAGCTTACTTTGTTATTTTTTTCTCAGTTTTGAATCCTTCAGTTATACATTCTACCATATTACATGTATTTTTCTCCAATAGGATGCAGTGCTTTAATGATAAACTTACAGGTACAAGGTGTGTAGGGTAGCCTTCTTCTAGCCGTTGTCTTAGCCACAGGAAATCATTATACCTTCGCCTCACTGAGTACTCGCTGTCATCAAACTCACTCCTGGTGGTCTGTGTGTTAAAAGTTTGTGTATGTGATAGATTCAATTGAGCATGAAAACAATAATAAACTAGTTCTACAGAGATACATTGTACCTGTCTTAGGGTTTGAAATTCAGTTTGCCAACATGCTAAATGCATATGCATGCTCAGTTTGATATTTTACAGGTCAATATGTTTCCCATTGGAATTTCCTGCAGGTAGCTACTTTCATGTCTCATCAAAGAATATTATGAGAGTAAAAAACGTTTTGAAATAAAAAAAACATATTGCAATTCAAATTTTTCTCCTTTTCACAATATACTTATGTAAAAGGTCTTAGACATTTTGCCCTTAAAAACTTGGAAAAACTCGGAAGTAGCTAAAAAAAGTAATCATCAGATTTAACTGTGTGTCTATAGATATGTATAGATTTTAAAGGAAAATTAGAAATGACTGGTAAACAGTGAGGTCTGTTAGTCAGTGCTGGATTCAGCCACTGATTTGGATCCCTTGATGTTTTCTATGGGCCACTTCAATTTGCAATGAAAAAAGACATTGGTTCTGTGGCCTTATTTCTTGAAGATGGGAGAAGGAAACAGGAAATTTTAAAATATAGTCATGTGATCAGTATAATACAACATATGCTGTTATATGCAGGAGTGCTATATTATACAATACGAGAAAAAAACATTGGAATATGTTCGTAAGATCTGTAGAGTTTTACTAAATATTTTATTTTTTACCTTCATATTAATTCTAAACGTGACATATGCTTCCATTGTACTTGTATGCTTCTCTGGGTCATCCACCACCACAAAAAGGTCACGGGTTTCATCGTCCAGCTCATCATCATAGCGACTCAAGTTGGCAATCAGACTTGAGCTACGTGACACACTCAGGTCAGATTTTCCAGAGGCATCTAAACTAAGACTCTCCATCTGTAAGTAAATAGTAAATGTTAATGTTACTAAGTTAGATAGGAACTATGTTCCTTGATACCTGGAACAATACATATTTTTGACACATTACAAAGATGCTTTCATACTACATTATGTTTTGTATTTCAACCTTAAAAAGTTCACGTGAAGTTTAAATTTTTACCCTTATAAGTTACATATTTATATAATAAAAAATGTTTATTACATATAAAATTCTTAAAAGACACGTGATTTATTGAGATTGGAAATATTCCAGCAATTCAATATGAAAATATTTTGTTGACAGGTATATTGGATGTCCTCTTTCATTTGATTTTTTCACATTGAACTAAAAGTAGGTCACTGCCACTCAGTTTAAAGAAATATTGCTTATATTACGAGTGCATTTACAAATTATGATAGAATAGTGATACTTTTTCTCTTTTTAGCGTCCTCTGTTGGTCAAATTATTTAGGTGCACCAGAAAGTCAAGAATCTGTTGTACACTTGATAAATAGATATACAGACCAAGAAAGTAATTAAAGGGACATCACGTGAAAAGGCGTTTTTTTTTTTAATGAATGTATGTATTGTATGCACTTCCACATATGTTACCACGCTATCCACATATTCATAGTCCGTTCCAAATGTCCAGTTTGACCACTTGAATTGTTCGGGAAAGCCCTGCTAAAAATAGCGCCGATAACGTCACCTGACTAGGCAGTAAACACAAGTGGTGCGAGCGAGATGAAACGGTTTCCAAAGAGGCCCCCAGAGAGGGGCCGTCAGGCAACTG